TGTGAAGTTTCATTCCATTTGATTAAATTGAACTCATGCTAGCCAATCTTTAAAGCAACGTTTTGTTACCATGGAGCACGGTTAACCAACATTGTAACATCAAAACAAGGCCACCCTTAAAAAAATGTTTGTTTGAAATTGCCGCCTGAAGGGTTTCAGGCACACAAGGGAGGGAGGGAAATTATTATTATTTTTTTTCAAAATTAAAGATAAATTTTAAATTTTTGATAAAAATCTCAGTCAACAGTAAATACATTTTCTGACTTAAAAAAAAGTATCCACCATCAACAAAGAAACCTATTTTTGCATATATCTGACACTTCATTTCAGTATTTTGTATTATGCATGTGATAACAGGCAAAAAAATTAAATAAAAAAAAATCTTCCTACTTTTGGTCAATAAAATTTTTTCAGGAGGGAGCATTTCAATGAGGCGGGAGGCAATTCCAAACAAACAATAATTTTATTTTGGCCCAACGTCTAGAAAGTTTCTCAAAATTAGTCTGCTTTTTAATTTCATACACAGTTTGTAGCGTCTTCTCCATTCATAAAAACGTATCCATAACACTTAACACCTAGTTTGCTAACAATTGTGCAAATAGCTTGAACTAGATTGTCATTGTTTTCAAATTCCTTAGGCCTACCCCGGAACTCGATTAGTCCCGCAACAGTGAAGCGCACATCACGTTTAATGACGTTCGTAACTGTTTTGACAAGATTTGTAACTATAACCTGTTTCTTTGCAGACCATCCATCGTCTGATTTAAACTCGCTTCCACTCGAAAATTGTATTTTCCATTTTATACAAATACACGGCTAATTTTTCATACATTTCTTGGTTAAGACAGATTTTTTTAAGTTTGTTAAAGAAGTTTCTAGAGTTGAAAACAAAATTTTGTTTCTACTCGCTGCTGGGTGACGCCCTCCAACGTCATGGATTTTTGCCTTTTTAAATCAAGTCCATGTGTATTTAGAGACTGATACCTTTTAAACAGAACGATGTTGCTACCTGATAGCATCTTAAGTAATACAGCTAGACTGACTTTAAACATGTAAATCTTATTTTGTTTCGACTCCATTCTGGCTAAAGATACTATAAAGTGAAAATTAGTAAATTACTCAATTTTGACGTTGCTCCATGACCCTATTTTTGCTGTTCTAAATCCTTGATAATTTGTATAAATATGAAGATATATTCCAATTTTTTAACTCAAATTATTCGAATTAGTTGTTAAAATATGTGTACCAAATTTGGATATAATATGACGTTAAATAACAAAGTTACGACAAAAGTCTATGAACTTTTTGAATGACCCTCGTATATGTACTTACCTCAGTTGAGAAATATTTCATGCATAGAGCATGCTCTTGCATATAAAATCAACTGGGAGACATCAGACATAATGCCAAGTTACAATGGTTTTCAGAAAATAATTGTCTGGACAGAAAAATGTTATTTTTTGTAATTCAATAAGTCTGAGTGTATTAACTTGATTTAAATTTGATGTACCTAAGGCCAGCATTTTTTTATTTTTAGGTTTACGAACATCAGAATGAAAAAGTCCCGTAGGAGGAGGAAATAAAAAAAAAAAATTATATTTTGGATACATTATCGACTTTTCTACATTAATTTTTGCTTCTTTTTTATGCTCTCCTAACAGGCTTCTTGCCACTGGACACATAAGGGTTACAAAGGGGAAAATACAACCTTTAATTGTTTATTTCATCATCTACCAGTTGGGGGCAGTGATATAAATCTTTTGATGTTGGACAAAATACAGATTTTTTTTAAAAAAATCAATTTTTAAAATCTCTTTTAATATATCTTTATTTTTGTTTTTAATGTGTGTAAGGTAGAAATTATTCTAAAATATTAATATACTCGAGACCTATAAAAGTAATAATTCCTTTCATAAAACAGACAGGGAGTATTCCCAAGGAGTATTGAGGAGTAGGGTGGAATTTTTTTCAATTAAGTGTAAAATAATTTTTCTAGCTGCCATAAACGATACTACATGCCTGTATATATTTGTATATTCTTGTTTTTAAATAGTTGAAATATTTTATTTCTTTAGCCTAAAGTTTAGGCTATTGTTTATTTCTTCCTCAAATGGACTTAACTTCTCCCATAGTTTTATTCATTAATCTGATGCATAAGCGACCCTTTTCTGAAGAATGATGCTAAGACTGTAAGCTATGACAGAAACCTTAGCAATGTCTCTGACAATAGCTACCATGGGCAGTTTAAAACCTGTGGAAAATAATTTACAATTACAGACAGTTACTTTTGAATACGAACGGATACATAATTATCTCACCAACATGTCACTATGCAACAAAGTCGTCAGCATTTTATTGTTCTCTGAACGTGTGAAACATTTTGAATGGCACTCCTATTGATAAATATTTACATTAAACCAAGCTTTAGCGCTGCTATCATGGACTTGACACAAATCTCCCTTCATCATTTAAAACCGGAAGTACGAGTTCGTAAATTTGAAATCTCGATCCCGACTCAAATTTGACATCGGAAAGAAAAAAATCTGTTTTTCTCAATTTTATTTTTTTTCTGAAAATTCAAAAACTTGAGCGGCGGGTTTGTAAACCTAAAAATAAAAAAATGCTGGCCTAAATGTCTCTTTTAATTTTCTAAATCTGTATGAACATGTAGCCAAAGAAATGTTCAAAAGATGAAAAAAAAATTTCATTCCTTTAATCTTCTTATTAGGAAAACTTCTTTTCAATATATCAGCTAGCTGCTTGCACCTCATGCATTTAAAAGATAAATAATTGTGGTATGTTTGTTGATTCCAATAAATGTCTCTTTATACTTACAGGACCCACAGTGGGTGTGTGGATATTCTCTGTAGAGGTAACCCCATTCAGAGGAAGGAGAGATCTAAGGTCCTCTCGGATTGATTGCAGGACAATGTCACTGTTATTCTGGGAAGATTTTATTTTTTTCTCAATAAGACCTAAAAAATAAATAAAAAATATTTCAATAAGGTCAATCAACAGTAAATGTCAGCAAAAAGCCATGGCCAGACATGGACTTAAAACCAGAACCCCCTAGCTACCATATGGTTGCTCTAGCTACCCACTGAGCTACCAGGTCAGCAAATCCTTGCTCCATAACACAAAGTTTTAATATGTCTTAATAGTCTGTGTATAGTTATTATATGGTCATTTTTAGAGTTCCTTTACACCTTGTGAACAATTATGGATTGTTTAGGTGGTATTTTTAATTTGGTTGGTTTGATATTCACCAGAAAGTTATCAATATTGACCTCTAGCTTTACTTAATTAAGTCACTAGAGATATTCTTGTAAAAATCAAACCATATTCAACCCCAAGAGTACTGTAGAAACAAAAAAATTTTTGTGACATAAAATTCTATTGATTTGTCATCTAAAAAGGTTTTGTGGACATACCTATGTTTAAAATGTAATCATGCCCAAATTTAGGGGGTGGGGTGGGGTGGGGTGAAATTTGCGTTATTATTTTTTTGACTGGCATGGAATCCCCCCCCCCCCTTCCCAGAAAAAAATAATGATGTCAGTGTTATGGTTAACCACTGACTAACAAATGTGAATAAGTCATTTAATTCTGGAAGAGCAATGACCTTAATAGCGAGCGCAGCGAGCGTCGCGAAGCGACGCTCGCAAAGCGAGCTCAATAGACTAACGTGTAGGAACAGAGGAAATTCGGATTGAAATCTGTACATACGTCAGCCAAATTTCTCTGTGCAACATTCCCAGAATTCCTGCACTACCCAATGTCCTTTGCGCGAATAAATAAATAAATAAATAAATGATAACGTAAAGCATGAAAGGCTATCAGTTTGTAGATATTTTTCAAATGAATAAAAAATAATTCTGCAATGTTTTTCGACCAGTATTGCACTAGGTCTATAGTTTCAACCAGACGCTCGGCTGTCTCCGTAAGCTCCGACGAGCTCCGTGACGTCGTGTGACGTCACAGGTAGTCGAGACGTCTCGTGCGACTTGATGTTTGAAGTGGCTTATAAATGTTTCAAGTTTTTTCGATGGTACAACTGCGCTCGCCCCAACGGTCACACCGTAAAACATATTAGCGAGCGCAGCGAGCGTCGCGAAGCGACGCTCGCGAAGCGAGCTCAATAGACTAACGTGTATGAACAGAGGAAATTCGGATTGAAATCTGTACATACGTCAGCCAAATTTCTCTGTGCAACATTCCCAGAATTCCTGCACTACCCAATGTCCTTTGCGCGAATAAATCAAAAATAGTAAAAAAATTAAAGGAACATTGTTTCTTACCCAAATCTTAACGAAATGATTTCGCCTGACCTTATTCAAAAAAATACCCCCATGCCACAACACCGGCCTTCACCTTGCCCTTCGGAAATGATACAAATGACGTCACCGGAAACTTACGAATTTTGACGAAGTTATGTCGGTTGCTTCCGTGAAAGTCGGAAAACATGTTGCGGTGCATAGCAACATGGTGGCTAAAACATAGCAACAACTTACTTGAAAAGAACGATTTAATGCAATCTCTTTTCCATAAAACTAGCGTTTGCATCCTAAGTGAACAGAACTTTTTATCTGACGTCATACTTTCGTCACTTCAAAGGTTCGGGTATTTCCGATTTTGTCGGAAACTTCCGAGAAGTTTGGAATCTCGATCCTGATGCTTGGGAAATGATTTCTTTTTAGCTCACCTGAGCCGAAGGCTCAAGTGAGCTTTTCTGATCACATTTTGTCCGTCGTCCGTCCGTCTGTCCGTCCGTCTGTCCGTCTGTCTGTCTGTCCGTCTGTAAACTTTTCACATTTTCGACTTCTTCTCAAGAACCACTGGGCCAATTTTGACCAAACTTGGTACAAAGCATCCTTGGGTAAAGGGGAATTTAAATTGTTAAAATGAAGGGCCAAGTCCCTTCGCAAGGGGAGATAATCAAGAAAAGACAAAAATAGGGTGGGGTCATTAAAAAATCTTCTTCTCAAGAACCACTGGGCCAGAAAAGCTGAAACTTATGTGGAAGCATCCTGGGGTAGTGTAGATTCTAAATTGTTCAAATCATGACCCCCGGGGGTAGGGCGGGGCCACAATGGGGAATCAAAGTTTTACATAGAAATATATAGGAAAATTCTTTGAAAATTTTCTTCTCAAGAACCACTGGGCCAGAAAAGCTGAAACTTATGTGGAAGCATCCTGGGGTAGTGTAGATTCTAAATTGTTCAAATCATGACCCCCGGGGGTAGGGCGTGGCCACAATGGGGAATCAAAGTTTTACATAGAAATATATAGGAAAATTCTTTGAAAATCTTCTTCTCAAGAACCACTGGGCCAGAAAAGCTGAAACTTATGTGGAAGCATCCTGGGGTAGTGTAGATTCTAAATTGTTCAAATCATGACCCCTGGGGGTAGGGCGGAGCCAAAATGGGGAATCAAAGTTTTACATAGAAATATATAGGAAAATTCTTTGAAAATCTTCTTCTCAAGAACCACTGGGCCAGAAAAGCTGAAACTTATGTGGAAGCATCCTGGGGTAGTGTAGATTCTAAATTGTTCAAATCATGACCCCCGGGGGTAGGGCGGGGCCACAATGGGAAATCAAAGTTTTACATAGAAATATATAGGAAAATTCTTTGAAAATCTTCTTCTCAAGAACCACTGGTCCAGAAAAGCTGAAACTTACATGGAAGCATTCTGAGGTAGTGTAGATTCTAAATTGTTCAAATCATGACCCCCGGGGGTAGGGGCCACAATGGGGAATCAAAGTTTTACATAGAAATATATAGGATAATTCTTTGAAAATCTTCTTCTCAAGAACCACTGGGCAAGAAAAGCTGAAATTTATGTGCACATCGAAGCATCCTTGGGTATTGTAGATTTCAAAATGTCTAAATCATGATCAGTGGGGTAGGGTGAGGTCGCAATATGTATTAAAAGGGGGAAATCTGGTAAAGAACAGAATGGTCAAAGCTTCTCAAGTGAGCGATGTGGCCCATGGGCCTCTTGTTATTGTTTTGTTTTATTCTTTTTGCTTTCTTTTTCTTGAATGATAGACAGTAAATGTGTAGGTTTATTATAGTAAATAAACTGCGCTCGCCCCAACGGTCACACCGTAAAACATATTACAGGTAAGTTGACATATATATTATATAATTTACGTCTATCACTCTATGGCGTGAGCAGAGGCGTAGAGAATAATCAGAATATCAACAGATAACATTGACATGACTGGTATAAGAGCTGTATAATGTGTGTACATGTCAGCATGTATTAAACTCACCATCTACATTATCTTTGACCCATTTGAGGAATTCTAGCGTTGTTTCGCCCTTCAACTCCGAGTAAATATTTTTAAATCCTTCTATTGCTGTGAAAACATCCATTTATCAACGCAATACTGTATACTACAATATCAATGTGTTACACATGTGGATTTTTCAAAGAGGAAATTGTTTTGAGTGAACTAAATTTAGAATCTTTCCTGGACCAAATAATTCCGAAAAAAAAAAATTTCAGCAATATATATGTCAGCAAAAAGAAATATAGCATGAGGACAAAAAATTTGATTTAATCAAATACAGTCAATACTTAAAGTATATTATAATTGCAATAAGACGGAAAGACTTATATTAAAAAGATGACAACAAATTCAAAGATAAAGTTTCCCGTTATCTGTACCACCCTATTATAATGATGTACCTACATTGTCAAGTTGACTGATATCATTTATCATTAACAAAATACGACCAGCAAAATATGCATTCAATGGCAGAGATAAAGGAGGATAAAGAGGAAGTAAGAAAAGGTAAACAAATATTGTATCCATACGAAATTGAAAAGAAATTTGTTTTAGGTTATTTATTGATGTATATGCATGTATTTTGCATTTCGAAGCCTTAAAGGTAAGGGTACAGGAGACGATATTGTTACAAGCCTTGTCTACTGAACCCATGACATACAGATTATGTAGTTTCTCTAACTTATCTTTTCCAGTTTAGTGAAAACGGAAGGATAGATTGTTTATTAATTCTGTTTTAAGTTTAAGTACATTTCTTAACATTTAATCCATTTTGAAAAGGGGTCAGGTCTTCCTTCTCATATTTATCCCAACGTTTGGTATAATCCTCGACAGAATTTATACTGAAATAAAGTTCTGTAGCTAATCAAAAGATCGGAGGTCCCTGCTTTTAGCACCTTGAACACGGATTACTTTAAGGCCTTCATTTGAATGAAATGTCTAGAGGGACTGTTGTTGAAAAAAAAATGTTTTAGATGTTCAATATCTAGACAATAGCTACGTTTATTTATAATTGAAATGGGCGTAACAGTTTGGAAATATCTGTACATGCTGTATCAAATGCAGGATTTAGACTTCAATTTGAAATGTGGTGAAATGCAAAGCTGATTTTTTTAAAAAACTAATGAACATTATTAATGCTCACAGCATCTTTTCTTTTCTTTCCAAAATAATTATAAGCTTAGAGAACCAATGGACCGTGACAGAATTATATTCCGACATACAGAGAATCTGAACCCGGCAAAATCCATCAACAAAGAAGTTAGTTTGCTTTTTGCTCTTTAATAATCTAAGGGGTGTTAAGAAAGTTCGTTCCATGATGAAATACATGTATTTTCAAAATTTCAAAGTAGTGTTTAATAACTAAAAAGATTAATTTTCAAGTTTGACTAAATCACAAGGTTGTGCTATAGATTTTTAGCAATTCATTTCTAGCAGGAAGTTATAGGATTTTTCTTCCATATGAAAATATATATATAACATCTTTAAAGCACCCGAATGATACAAATGCTGGTCTTTTGAGTGAAAGTAAAGGATAATTTTAAATTGATTCTTCATAGCTTATCTTGCTTTAGACAAGCTGATGAACGTAGGTATAAGAACGATAGATCACATTTTAAAAGAATAGGTTTGTCATTTTGACATTTTCACAATGCATAATATTTGAAAGGATGTTTTGAACTTTGTGCTCAATATATGTCACAAATATGCATCATCTCTAATTTTTCTGCACAGACATCATCTGTTTTAATACCTGCCCTCCCCAAACTGATGCAACAAAAGACAGTTAAAACCTTATCATGCACTGGGTAGCAAGAATGGACTCTGTAAACATGAAATATCACAAATTGTAAATATCTTCTCACCGTATTTCTTTTTGAAAATAAAAGAAAAATGTGGAATGAACTTTCTAACACCCTTTATGTAAGAGCTCTGATAATTTTCAGATGAAGAATTGGACAGAAGTATGTTGCACCGTTTGCAGAAGAACTCGATCAGTGCCTTCATGGAGTACGGTCAGAAGATCGGAAGGAAACCAACCCTGGAATGTCACCCAATCAAGAGAGTCAGATTGTTCTCTGGAAATCCAACGTAAGAAAACTTTTCTATATGTCTACATTGACGTCCAGTTTTAAAATTTATTCTCTTCCGAAGATATAGAAATCAAAATAATTGAAAGCTGGTTTTAAAAGTAATTAAAAGCAGATTGCAAAGAGCATTTAATTGTTAATAGCAGTGGAAAATGAACAATACAGGGCAACCGAATTGCAATTGCTACAAACACTAGACAGGTATGACTGGAAATAATAAACAACAATAACTGTTACAGGTCTTTTTAAAATTCTTCTAGTTTTACAGCCTCTGCATGTATTGGAGAAGATGTAATTTGTACTGCCGAGGCACCGAACAAGAAAGATGCTAGAACAAAAGCAGCCGATATGGCACTAAGACAAATGTCTCGCAACCTGAATGTAAAACAGGTACGTGTTTACGTTTAGTGTATTTAAAAATAAAATTATTTTCTATTCCTTTTCTCGCCTATTGTACGAAATATAGACAATAGCTGACAAACTCCAGCAGGATTATACAAGTATTTGATAACTACTATTTGATGCAAGTGTTGAGAAATGTTTTAATACAATATCTAAAGGCCGGTATACACGGTAAGATTTGTATTATAAGATTTGTATATCATTTTTATCATTTATTCCAAGCTCTCTGATTGTCTCAAACTTGATCACGTGATTAAGTATATAACAGCATAAAGATTTGAGTTACTATTTATAGAATCTGAAATGCATATCGACTTGATGTTTCTTAAAATTGAGATTATAATTTTCTGTAAAACAAAAATAGTACTGGTTTCACAATTATAGCTAATACAGTGTATGACTTGATGTTTCTCAAAAAATATATACTTCATCTTGTAATTAATATTTTTTAATGTTCTATACTTAATGAGACATAACAATTCCATGAATTAGGATCTACTTTGTATGGAAACATATTGAATATGTTTGTCAAAAATTGATACAAATAAATGTAGTATTTAGAATTAGTAAATCCTCTAAATTACTTCATCAGTACAAAGGTTACAAAATTACATTAAACGGCTTAATTTATTTTGATCTCTAGTCTCTAAAAGTTAAAGAGAGAAAACTTGTGCCTTGCTTCCATTATTTTCAAATTGTATTTTGTTAATCTATGCAAAAATAATATAACAAATGTAGCCCTTTAATTCGGTCAGTCCATAGATATATCGACTTCACAGAAAAGCATATCGACCTCGCACTTCGTGCTCGGCCGATATGCTTTTCTGTGAAGTCGATATATCTATGGATTGACCTCATCAAAGGGCTATATTTATATAATATTTTTTTCTTAAAGGTGAAATACAAAACTAAGAATAAACAATCAGTCCAAATAGTAATTTTAAAATGAAAAATAAAAACTTGTTAATGTAAATGTTGAATTTATTTTTTTTAGAGATTTTATATTAGAGTTCTTAAATTTAGCATCTCACTCTATTGAAGCACTAAAGCGATTTGTTACAGACATTTGATGAATCTTCAACACGAATGGAACTGGCCATTCCTGACAAAGATCCCGTTAGTGCCTTTATGGAGTACGCACAGTCAAACGGACAAACTGGGCGTATCGTACAGGATTCACAGACAGGACCAGCACATTGTCCAACGTATATAA